ATCTGTCTACTCAGCCCACATTTTTTTTTGCCGAGCAATAAAACTTTTAATTTTTTTCCCACACTTTGCTGTTTTATTCTTTGGTTGGGTCACAGAAGAAAGTTATGTTTGCTTGCAGTTCAAACCGCAATAACAATCATACTAAAAGTCGAGAGGGAGCCGAGCAAAAAAAAAAAACCAACTATAATTTATCAAAATAATGCATAAATTCCTGACGCCAACTTCTTTGCCCGTCGCTTTCGGTGGTTTGACTTATTTTTTTCAGCTCCTCCAAATATTATTGTTGTTTGCACGAAGAAAGTTCCATGGAAATGTAACAAAATGTGGCTATGCGGCATTTTGAGAAAGAAAGTTTTCTTGAGGAAGCAAAACTAAAGGAAGGGGGATGTAAAAAAAAAATGGCAAGGACAACAAGGGCAATAAAAAATTATAATACTTCAGCTAGACTCTGGGAACACATATGTTTAAATGTGATCACGTAAAGTCGCTGCATTAAAAATACAATTTTTTCTAGGCGGGGGTGGGGGAAAACCTTTAAAAATGTCCTACCACCAAAACGTTGTTCGCAGAAAGGATATTAGGAGAACCTTGCCGAAAGTTATTGGGTGGTTGTTGTAATGTCTGCTTGTTTTATTGTTTTTTATATTATTTCGTTGGGCATCATTGACTAATGGCTTGAGGAGGATAAAAAAAATTGTCATTGAAAAAATCGTTTGAAGGACATGCAATTTTCAGCATGATGTTTGGAGGACAAATCTGTCCCTTTCCTCAATTATCTGCGAGTTATAAGTTTTTATAATCCATTGAAATTTTGAAATCGAATATATTTTCTTTACAAAAGCATTGGTAGAATAAAGAAGTTAACCTCGTGTTATGATATGTTTACAATAATTACATAATCCAATGAGGCCATTTCATAGGATGCAATTGGTCGGAATTGCCAAGATTCAGTTCATTTGGGCCCATATAAGCCATTTGGTGCACAAAAAACCTCATGTCGGATAAAGATATATATAGGTGCTATATCCAAAACTGAACCGACCTTGACAACATTTTAGGCACTTATTTCTGAGCTGTATCTGACATCTGGTACCAAAGATCACTGTTGTGCATATTACACATGTGAGAGACAACCAACTTCAGACTCCTGTCATTTCTAAGCCACTCGTCCGACAACTGTTAAAAATATTCTAGTGACAGCTCATTATATTGTTTACAAGCCTACAAAAGGGAGGGAGTATTAAAGCCTTGGGCACGCAAACATTTTGGGCCAAAATACCGCAGAGCAACATTCATTGGTCGTTTGAGAGCCATAATTCGTGCCAAACGTTACCAATTCGAACAAATCTAAACTTATTCTAAAATTTGATGCTATTTCCGACATTTTTTGCTTTCATTCAATAAATTAAAAAAAAAAATATTTAAAAATTATGGCGTTTGACTTTGGTGCAGCTTTTTTTATCTCACCCTGTATATGGGAGATAATCCAAATCTGATCCGATCTCGATTAAAATTGACAGAGGTATTTCTGGGTACCAAATATTATTCTTGTGAAGTCCATATTACGCATGTGAGGGACTTAAAATCACAAATCGGATGAAACTTATGTATGGGCGCTATAACTATATCTGAACTGATTTTCACCGAATTTGAAGTACTTGCTTCTACACTGAATTCGGTCGGATGTGTCCAAATTCAGGTCATTTGAACTGACTATATCGAGCTATATCGAAATTTGTACCGATTCTCACCAATTTCAGTTGGGTTCGTGGTTGGGCCAAGCATATATTGTTTGGAAAATTTGATCTCAATCGGATAATAAATGCGACCTCCTTTTTTTTGAACAAAAATACATGGACTAGCGGATGGACAGACAGACGGACCGACATGCATAAATCGACTCAGAAAGTGATTCTATGAAGATCCTCAAAAGTAAGTATGTTTCCATCTCGCTTCCTCCTCCGTGTTACAAAAAAATACACAAAGACATAATACCCTTATCACTATGTGGTGTAGGGTATAAAAAGGATATGCTTTTTTGTAGTAACCCGCAAAAGAAATGACGTACAGTTTCTCGACATGTTTTTAATATTCAGTGCCAGTGAAAGACCCCCTAAGGGGTTTGATTTTCGAGTTATCTTCAGACTGTAAGCTACAATTTCCTTGTTGACCGGTTTAATGTTTTATTATTTTCTCTTGCCAAAAAAACAACGAATGTCACACCGATTTAAACGACCACTTAAATAACGAGCGGTCATTTCGTTGGTCACACACATAGACACACACACATTAACAGTGACTCTATATTGTTTCTGGGTTCATTTTAAATAAATTTAGCCTTCACTAGACATACGGGCGTCAAATTTTGGGTGCACAGCTTTTTTGGCCATAGCTGTGAGTGTATGGGTATGTGGTCCAAACAAGACATATATGAGACGGTGCGCATTTGTAGTGTACAGTAGATGCTCACAAATGTGGATTCATAGGCTGAACAACATCAACATGACACGATATGGGTGGCCCATAAAATATAGCGAGTTCTCTGAGAAATAATTTGTTCTCTACTCCATTTTATAAATGAGAACGGAACAGTTCTGTTTCGTCTTCTCTTATTTGAGAGAAAAATTACTCCGAAGGAGGAGGATTTAAAAAATTCGAATTTGTTGTTCCCCCATCTTCGGGGAGTCCACTGTACCCACCGTCAAAGGCTTGTATTGCCGAGAATGTAAGTGTGTGTATGCTCTCAATTCATTTTTATCACAAGTAATTTTTATAGCCAAGTAAAAATACTGCGACGCGTCTTGTTTTTTGTGTTCAGCTTTTTTGTGGACTTCTTAACAATCGCAAATAAAACTAAGAAAATGAGCAGAGAATACAAAGAACAAAAATGTACACTTAGACAAGAATATAACAAAATTCATTGAATACTAACCCGCCAGTGGCAGGAGCGGAAATTCAAGTCCAAAAAAATTGATGGCCTTTAAGGGATGTGTGTGTGTGTGTGTGAAATATGTATACAAATATTAGAGAGAAAATACAAATGGCTTAAAAACCCCCTTCACGATGTTTTTTTTTATCAACTGCTCTATCTTAGCCATAATCAGGTTTGGGATATACAGATTAAAGCATCAGAGGAGATCTCCCTGATGCGTGTTCAACTTAGTCATGATATAACACCAAAGGCCTTCCCATAGGCCACTTATACTTTCTGTCCCTAGTCTATGTCGTTTTTATCTGTTGACGTTGGTTTTTGTTTTTTTTTTTTAAACTCAGAAAACGTCCATTGACTGCATTGATCTCTCAGACGCTTTAAGGAACGCGTCAGTCAGTCAAGCAGCCAGTCAGTAATCGTGTTCTTTTTTGTGTTCGTTTTTTTTTTTCGTTTAGAAAATGCGTTTTATTTTTTTTTTTTTTTTTTTGAATTAGAAAATGCGTTTCCACTTTTCTTGTTGCTTGTAAAAATAGATTACAACATTTTGTAATGCGTCGTGTCTCTGTTACTTTGCTAATTGATTTGTTTATTAGAGCATTAAATTTACTCATTTTAATTTATAAACAATGCTGTAATACTTGTTTCCCCCTCTTTTTTAGGGGATGTAGACGGTAGGGAAGTGGGGGGGGGGGGCGCAGTGGAAATATTTTGGAAGAAAGCTGGGAAGTAGGCACTAAGTAGCTCCTGATGTGCAGTAGGCAATAAAAATTGACTCAATTGTTAGTTTTGTTTTTGGTGAGAGAGGTGAGGAAAATGAAGACAGCCTCGTCGGTCGACAAACTCTATGGCTAATGTGGTTGTGTCTGTGAGATAAAAAAAATATTAAAGAGATCCTAATAAATGGTCGGTTATTAAAAGTTGGAGTTCTCTTATATAGTTGTCTGCATACCCTCCCCACACCAAAAATAGGAGAATAAGGCTAAATTTATCTATATTTTTATACCCTCCGCCATTCCGTTTGTAGGTTTTCGAAATATTCATGATAGACCCTACAAAATATATATATTCAGGAGCAGCGTAAAATTCTAAGACGATGTAGCGATGTCTGTCTGTCCGTCTGTCTGCCCTCTGTTCTAATGCTATCGCATCTTTCGAACGAATTGAGATAGAAGGCTAACATTAGCATACTTGTGTTTTTTTTGCAGGAGGCAGGTTAAATTCGTAAATGAGCCATGTCGGTCCACGTTTTCGTATGGCCCCCATATAACGGTACCTCCCTTTATTCGGTATTTTAATGATTTTAGCGACATTATTCGCCGGAATTGTTTCAAATTTTGTATTTGAAGATCTTAATGGGTACTACAGCCTATGGCAAAAATTACTTTTGCAGGTCCACGTCTTTGAATAGCCTCCGCATAGAGGTCATCATTTAAACGGCATTTTACGAAATTTGTTTAAATTTTTCTAGTTCCTTCCAAATGTTGGAGGCTATAAAAAGTTCGGCCCGGTCGAAATTAGCTGTTTTTTACTTGTTTTGAACGAATACTGATGATTTGTTGTTTGGAAATTGAGAGGAACGATCCTACAAGCGAACTCCCTAATCCATCGAGTGTCCAATGCTGCTTCTTCTTTATTTTGAGAGTTTTTTTTTGGATCGATGAAGCCATCAAATCATCATCGTAAGTTAAATGTCTTCATTGGCTGGGTTTGGATGTTAATTTTTTGTTAGTTTTTTATCTGAAATTCCGGCCCTGAAAATAGGACATTGTGTTAGAATAAACCAAAAATTGATCTCCAATAGAAGAAACAAGCAATGTTACTCCGAAAAAATGTTATCCATTTTTGAATAATTTAAGATATTTTTCGAAGCTCATTTTCTTCCGGTGTAAACCTGAATCTCCCCAAACGTCCATTAACCATTGCCCAAACCAAAGAGGGTGTTTTATTGATTTTGAGATTACCTTTTCCGCAAGGTACTAATATTTTTGGTTATTTTCTTTACGTCTGCCTCTCTGCCTCTCTATCTGTCGCTTGGATTGTGCTTCAGTGTTTCAATGGCTGTACTCACCTTTTCCTTTGGCGTTTGTCAAATGCAATATTCACCGGCACGCCCAATTCCAAATCTTCGATGTCATCAATATTCTTAGCCATGCTCTGGAATTTACGTGAAGTACAATCTTGACTGTCGAAATTATTGGAGAGTATCGAACTAGCGCCAATTGTGCCACCACCTTCTCCTCCCCCACCTTCGCCTCCTCCATCGTCGTCATCGTCATTAGTAGCTGCTGCAGTGTCGCCATTTATAACAGCTTTACCCACAGCCGTCAGGGTACCCATAACGCCCATGCCAATGGCACTCACACCGGCTGCACCAGCGCCACCACCGGAAATAGCACCAACCGAAGCGATTTCCGCCTCAGTGCCGCAATGTTGCACAATGCAAACAAAAAGGCAGCAATAGAAGGATACCAAGAAGTGCCAGCAAAGGCAAGATGGCCAAAAACAACAAATACTGCTGCTAATGCTGAAGCCTCGATAACTGCTCCGGCTGCGATTATGGTCAAAGTAACTACTGCTGCTGCTGCTGAAGGTGGGGGGAGCTGTGGCTTTTGTTGAAACTCTTTTCAAATGGGTCCTGGTGGCTGTGGTTAACAATTCTGCTTCCTTGGTGCTCATTGAATGCCTCGACATTGTCGCAGTCAATAAAATCTGAATCAGCAGGACTTTTCTCGGCTATTCGATTTAGATCTCTGTTGGTAAAAGAAGAAGAAAAATAAATGATTTTAAAGTTGATGTTTTCAAAATATTTTTAAGTTATGTAGGTATGTGAGCATTTAATTCGTAAAAGTCTCTCCCTTGATTAATGTCCATGGTCGGCTTTCCACCAAACATCATCATGTTTCCTCGTCGTCATTGTTCCCCCCCCCCCCCACATTTGGAACATAATCATCGCAAATTTCTTTCGAATCCTGTCAATTGTCAAATCAATTTGAACTTGTCACTCAAATTTTGACAACTTCTTTAGAAATCGGTTGCACGTTGAGCGGAGTTACGTTTCAATCCAACCGATGCTGATGATTTGTTGCCATGGCAATGTTTGCCTTTTTGGGGGACCGATCAAACGGTTTGTTTGAACTTTATTCTCGCACCGGCTTCGCAAATTGAGAGGAAGGACCCAACAAGCGAACCTCGAACCGCCCGCCCCACCAAGTGTCCTATGCTGCCGCTTCTTTTTTCTTTTGAGAGCTTTTTTGGGTCGATGAAACCATCAATTTAGCTTCGATTAGTTCAATGTTTCCATCGGCTGGGTTTGGTTGGTAGTGTCAGATTTTGTTTTTTTTTTACCGTTACGGTTTGTCGGTTGTGTGAATGTGGGCAGAGATTTCCAAGAATTTTGTTGGATTAACTAATTGCTGGATGTTGTGTGGTTTTTGGTCTTTTGTGCTTCGTTTTATTCCAATTTTTTTTAGCAGCCTTTTTGTCGTTCGAGTACAGAGTGTGTCAGGGCGGGAAGGGGGTAGAGAGGGTGTGGGAAAGGAAGGAAGAATAAAGAGTAACAATTCGATGACTGAATTAGAAGTAGAAAAGGGGAATGTTTAATTTGAAACGATCTAATCGCCATTCAATAGGGTTTATGTACAGAGGTGTCCAATATTCGGTACGCTGAAAATTTCTTTGCTATAATTTAAATTCTGTGTGAGAATGGGTATCGATGGTAAACTAACAATTTTCCAAAACTTTGGCATTATTTCTACAGAGAACAGGAATTTTTTGAACAAAGAGTACTTCGAGGACATTTTTGGGATTAATAATGGAGATTATGGTAACTTAACTTCGTAAATTTACCCAACTCATTCACAGCTTACGTTCAACTGCCTATCCTGCACTGCCATGTCATTTCCAAAAAAAAAAAAAAAAAAAAAAAAAAAAAACACATCAACTAAAGTCCGCCACCATTTAGTGACATTCCTGACACGCTCGGCATTAGAAGAAGGTAGACATTTTCATGCAGCCATAACCCCGCAACATGTTAAAGGGTTTCGGTTTCGTTCGCCTTCTGCTGTGGACCTAAGCCGAAAGGGTGTTGCTTGGCCCCTCTTCAAATTGCAAATTGCCGGCAAGTGCCATTCACGGACGACAATACATCAGTGCAACACTTCGATAGAGTTTCTCGTATTTCATTTGTTAAGTCTTCTTGTTCGACAGTTTATCCCCATGATTGTCGGTCTGTCCGTTCGCATCCACCATCCACTCGTTCGAACGCCAATTGAATGCCTTAGAAACAAAAGCGTCCAAACAAGTTGCCGCTTGAGAAGGAGGAGTTCTTCATTTCAATTAATTGCTTCTGTTTTAGGCAATTAATTTTGTTACTATTTTTTGTTGGATTTTTGTTCGGTTTTTTGCTATTGTTGTTGCGGTTGTTGTTGTTGTTGCTCCCTTTGTACTGAATGAGTTTTAGGAAACTGTTAATTTTAGTTGCTGCTTTGCATGTTGAGGGCTCATGTGCACGGGTTTGTGTCTGTGTGTGTGTGTTTGTGTGTTGGTCTGCGTGTGACAGTTCGGTGTTCATTAAATCTTTTGCCAAAAGGGAATACAATAGCAGCAGCAGCAACAACAACAACAGTAAAGAAAAAAAAAACGTTATTCTAAGAAAATTTATTTAAAGCCATTTTTCGTTGCTTTCGATTAGGCGAAAATAAATTAATCCATTTCTCGAACAAATTTGTTACCGACTGCATGTCAAGGGGTTACAAACTTTGGGGCAATCGTTTAATCTGTCAGCTGGGCAGGACCACGACAAAGATGAGATTCCTGGGTTGGCTACAACAAAAGATGGCTTCATTTAAATTGTAAATTAGGGAAATGGCCAACTATCTATCAATGCGAGGCCACCCCTCTGGGGAGGTATAGGATATTAAAAATACGTTAATCTGATTGTTGGCCATTTGGTTTGCTTCTTTGTGTTATTCGGCGAAACATGAATGCCAGGAAACAAAATCACGGTCTAACATTTTACTAAGTTGGGTTGGTTATGAATCTACCACCCAGGGTGGCCCTCCACCGACATAATATAATTGACTCCATTTGAGAAAATGTTCATTGGCTTTCTGAGTTTAGACAGACATCAGTTTTTTTTCGAACGCCATCAAAATAAATTTGAGCGCATCAATGTAAATATCAATCACTTTGCCATTGCAAACAATTTCCGAACTCATATAAAAAATAAAAAGTTTTTCTCCAATAAAAGTTGAACTTAGCGATGGAAAGAGGTTGGGTGGCAGCAGGGCGCAGAGATGTGAGAGCGAAAATCAGATAGAACCAAACACAATTAATGTCAAATAAAGAACGGAACTGCCACAGCTACAGCAAATACGATGGGAAGTATTGTAAAGTTGCCGATGTTGGCATCGTCCTTCAAGCCAGCCAAACAGCCACTAACCAACACGGGGAGGAGGGAAACTTTTTCTTTTTGCTGCAGAGGAACATGTTCTTGGCATGGATGCGTTGAAAACACTATCAGTTTCCATCAATAGCTGACAAATATGGCTTGGAGTAATTTTGGCAAAAAAAAAAAAAAAAAAAACGGGTGGTCGGATGTAGTTTTGAAAATGCTGCAGATGTACCACCCTCCCTCCCCCTTTTTTAAGTTATTTCTCCTATGTTTAAGATTTTTGAAATTAATTTATTGAAAAACTGTTTTCGTTTCCAAAAATATTGCCATGTCTTGTTTTCCATTAGCCCAACAAAATTCACATCCTCCAAGAATCCATTTTGAATTTAAATGGCATAGAAAATTGATGCTAACGGCTGGGTCATAAAAGTTAACAGTAAATGGGATATTTCTCCTCCCAGACAGAAAAAAAAACAGTACATTTTTGGAGATCAAAGTTGAAAACTTTTTCCATTGAAACAAATGCGGAAAATGGTAAAAACCATTCAACGACGAGACTGACAAAAAATACCCAAACAAAGTAGCTACAGCGACACATTAAACAACAGCGGTAATTTCCATTATCAATTACAGAGTCCAAGTCCATGCACGTCATAAAAAATCTCCAAGGAATACCCAAAATGCACACATACGGACGTACGCTTGCCGGAAGGAAGGGAGTGAAGCGTTTGTTAACAACTGCCAAAAGTTACTAGGATGGAGAGATATTTGGGATAATCTAAACCAGGCCAAGGCAAGAGCAGGTACTCGTGCCTTTAATGAGTGTAATTCGCTTTACACTCACAATCAAAACCGTTGAGAACCAGTGTAATCAGAGAGTAACAAAATTTGGAGAACATAAAAGGAGACTCTGTTCCCAATATTTGTATCAGTACTAGGTCAGGTGGAAAATATCGGTCCACTCCTCCCAAGCAAAAAGTCAACTTTTGAAATAATTATAACTCTTATAAAATGTGAAATAAGCTTCAGATTCTCCTGAATTTTCGCACATCCCAATATTTTATTTTAACACAAGATCTGGTGTGAAGATGTAATATATCAGTCCACTCCTTCTGATACCTCCCCCATAGAGGGTCAACATTTTGAATAATTAATAAGAATACTTCTGATTCTCTTCAAACCTTACACATCACAATATTTCTTTCAACACATAATCTGGTGTGAAGATGAAAAATATCAGACCACTCCTTCTGGTACCTCTCCAACAATGGGTAAAAATTTTGAATAACTATGAAGCTCATAAAACGCGAAATGAGCATCCGAATAGTTTCAAACTTTGCACATCTCAAAATTTTTGCTAACACAAACATGGCGTGCACAAAGAAATATCTCGGTCCACTCCTTCTGGTACCCCACCGTAACTGGTAAAAATTTTGAATAGCCAAAATGCTTTTAATTGCATAGTAAGCATCCGATTTCCTTCAAATTTCAAACATCCCAATAATTCCATTAATACAAGATCTGGTGCGGCCCACCCCCAAAGGGTCACAATTTGGGTTGAAACGACTTGGCATATCTCAGAACTCGATCTAAGTTAGATAGGAATGTTTTTGAGACTTTTTTGGTGCTTCAAATATACCTAGGTTACCCTTATTTCGACCATACCAAAAGATATATACCCTCAGTAGCCATATAGCTGAGGGTATAATTAAGCTCCCTAATATTCCTGGCATCTCTCATCCTTCAAAGAGCCTCCATTCCTTTCTTCTGCCTTAAAATGACTACTTATCCAGACAATGTATTTTTCACTTTACCCCAATATTCATCTACGCATTCACACACACACTCACGTGTTTACATATATATGTGTGTAACAAGGCGGAAGGATGGTTAAAAGCTAAAATCGGATGTAACGGTATTATTATTCTTTTTTTTTTGTTTTTGTTCTTTCATTTATAATGGGATCCTGTGTTTTTTTGGGAGAGGAAATTATATCGCATCATACACATGTACATTACACATACATACATACACACACACACACTTTCGCACTCGTACGTATACGTACCCAGCTAGACAATAACATTAAAAAGTTTTCCTTTTTATTATTTGACTCAAAAAAAAAAAATAAAATAAAAAAAATGAAAAAAAATGCTGCCATGCATTTTGCCATAAAACAATGTGAGCAAAAAGTTGTAGCTGTAACTTTTTTTCCTCCAAAGGAATTACCAATTTCCGTTAACATTTCAGCAGCAATGAATGTTGAACACGCTTACATGCGGTTCTATATTTGACCATTAAAAGGATGAGATTACTCTTTTGTCTATGGCTAAATTGTTTTCCAGCATTTCCGGTGCGCAGAGAAAGAGAAGCAAAAAAGCCAAGAATTGCAGAATTTTATTATCGCCTCCCTCCATTAATAAGCGGTGCATTAAAGGTTAGCCGGGCCATATTTTGAAAAGTTTTAAAACTGGAAATGCAAATCGTACGAGTATTATTACATCGAACTTTTGTTGCCAAATGGAAAAAAAAAAATCAATTAGGAAATGGAAATGTTATGGTTACTAATGTGGAGAGAGAGAGAGGGGATGGCAGGGGATATGGTTTCCCTAAAATGCGAGCAGCGTTTTGTTGAGAAAGAGTTGATTTAAACCAGAAGAAGTGGTAGTGTCAATACATTAATCCTGTTTTGTAATAGCTGTACTTAGACAGCTGAAGAGATTTGCTAACTGATTCTTTGGGTTTCCTATTTTTTTGAGTTTGCAATTAGCCACTGCTGTCATTTCGGAACTTTAAGTTTAAGAGGTCTTTTGAATATCCTCTAAGGTGCCATTTACAGATGAAATGACTAGAACAAATGAAACCCAATGCATATCTCCATATCAACAATTAAATTTTACAAAAATATAAAATCATAGAAAAAACGGCCAAACACAGACACAACACAACAGAGTTTCGGGTGCATGCAAATCAAATGAAAATAGGAAGAAAATAAACAGGCTGCCACAAAGTCACTCAAATAAGGCATCAACATCATCCCCACCTGTGGCATCAAACAAAGAGCAGAGAGAAAAAAACGCACTAATTAACCTCAATTGCCGCCAGCTAAGCAGTTTGCACGGAAATGTAAATTTGCACGCTCCTCTCCCCGAAATACTGTCTGTTGTTCGTCGACGACATGGCTAAGCAAATTCGCCAGAGATAATGAGTAAATGTTGCCGTTTCCAAGCAGAGAGGGAGATAGAGAAAGAGAGAGAGGGGGGAGCTTCACATTTGCCTATTTATTTTCAGAGAATTTTTGAATTCTTGTTTTTTTTTCTTTTCTTTTTTTTTCGCCAGCCTGAGAAGGGCGCTCAGGTATGTTAAGTGACAATGCAAACACTTAAAAGTGACAGGAATAAAATTGATGTCATCCGATACAGGAGACGAACAGGGACGGCGAGAGGAGAGGTGCAGATGGAGGGGAGGGGAAATTAAAAGAACATTTGTTTCTTTTGAATGGTGGACGTCAGTGAGAAATTTGTCAAATGACGATATTGTCGTTGTTGTTGTTGTTGTTATTGTTTTGTTGTTCTACAGTTTCTATTTGATTTTGATGTTTTTTTGTTTGTTGTTTTCTTGGTTTGTTTGTTTGTCCGTCTGTCAGAGAGATGTACTACTCGCATTGTGTTTTGGCTGAACTATGGCTGTTGGCTGCTAAGTCGTCTTGTGTTACATTTTTGACAATGTGTTGGACATGTAAGGTCGTCAGCTGGTCTATACATTTCTTTCTTTCGTTGGTTGGTCGCTTCATTTGTTCGTCTGTTTGCCTGTCTTGCTTTTTTTTCTGGTTGCAATTTCCTGAATTAAACTGATTTTCTGAATAGACATTTTTTGTTTAGTTGGATACAACTTAAATGTTTGAAATGCAAAGAAAAAAGGGAACGAGAAGTATTTAAACTTATAAATGTGTTCTTCATGGAAATTCCTACAATTCCATATAAAATAAAGGAAGTTGTCTCTACTTTATTTTATATGGAATTGCCGGTCTGAAAATATACATTAGAATTTTAGAGGGGTTTCTATGAAAATTATATCTGAGAGATTTTTTCCTTTCTGAAACATGGGAAATCATTCATAAAAAACGATTGTGTTATACGTATTGGTCTGTTCCAGAAGTGCAAGGAGGTAAAAGTTGAACGTGCTATCCTCTTTCTTATTTGTAATACCACAAGATATATTACTTGGAGTCTTTTTCTGCTGAAGAAAACAAGAATGTCCTCTCCTATAAAGAACCACGAGATCATCTGCTGCCCAATATTACTACAGGGCTTCTTATAAATAAATAAAAGGCCAGACAAATTTTGTTCCCCGAGTTTCTCTCTCTCTAGAAACCATGAAATCTAAAAAACCATGAGACCTTCTTCTTTTCAAGCAGCCCCCGAGACTGAATTATTTATAGGGCTTTTCAATTAAAGAATAGAGGGCTCTCTTAAACAGAATAGAAGGAAATCCACAAGAGATCTTAAGGTCTACTTTCCAACACTACTCGGCGACATTCTTCAATAGAAGAGCAAAAAGATTTTTCCCAAAATGGCAGCAGAACATTATGTTCTGAATATGGTCGAAATGTCCCTACTTCTCATAATAGATCCTCCTGTTATAATATTAGAAATTTGTCAACCCTGTTTTTGGATCCCAAGTTTTTATACCCTACACCTCAAGATGGTCAGGGTATTATGTCTTTGTGCATTTGTTTGTAACAGGCATATAGATAGATAGACCCATAGTTCCTTTCGACGATCTGCATAGAACCACATTTTGAGTCGATTTATGCATGTCCGTCCGTCTCTCTGTCCATGTATTTTTGTATACAAAGAACAGGTCACATTTATTGCCTGATCCAGATGAAATTTTCCAAAAGTCATTTGTTGCACCCAAGGACGAACTTTATGTAAGTTGGAGATAATCGGTGAACATTTAGATAAAGCTCCACTATATATCTTCGTCCAATTTGGTTCTTATTGTGCACCATATCAGCCTGGAAATAAGTATGTCAAATTTGATCGAAATCGATTCAGAGCTAAAGCTCCCATTTATATTGTCCGATTTGATATTTCTGCCCTCCGCAGCCGTAATATGCACTCTGAGGATTAATAGACTTATTTTAAAAGAAGATTAGGCAGTTATTTTTCTCGAGTTTTTTTTTTTTTTCTTTCCAGAACACCATCAAGTCTTCGTCCTTAGGAGATCACAAAATTTGGATAATCATTAGGTTTTCATCTTCTTCTTAAAAAAGCCAAAAGATCGGTTATCGTGAAGTGTTTCTCGTATACAAAACACAATGAGGTCTTCAGAAGACTCTGAAGCCTTTTATTCCCTAATGACACCATAGCGTTTTTTATTCTTCCCTTTATAGACCCCTTGTTTTGTAATGGCATGCCAGACAGTTTCAAACCATATTTTTGAATCCCGAGTTTGAGTCTGACACCACGAATAATTTATTTGTAAGCCTCTATGGTTTTTGAATGGTCTGATGGAAAATATTTTTGGTTCTTAAATTAAAGTCCGTATGGGATTAGTTTTTCAATTAAAAAGTTACGAAGAAGCAATTGTGAGTTTTGGACTTGTTCTTAAGTCCTTGGAAAATGTGCGAAGACCATACTAACAGTTCTAGTTTGAATACAACTAAACATATATTATTAATTCAAAAATTCAGTTTTTAGGTACTAGAGGTTGTTGAGGTATACGGGGTCTCCATTTCACTCACTCCCCTCACCATAAAATGCCGTAAATAACAAATGTACAAATTGCCACTCTCGAGTAATGCAGCACCGTTCCTTATTTGATGAGCATGGAACGCCAGACACTAAACCCTTTTTTCAACAATTGAAAATGTTGATTTTATAGCTACTTATTTTAAGGGATGCGGTTGTAGAATTTCTCCAATTTAAAACAGCAAATTTCTACAAAGTTTTTACTTTGAATTTTAGATGATGACTTTTCGATAATTTTTCACAATTCTAAATAAAGGAAAATTGTCTTTTCAAGATAATATATTTTATTATTATTTTTCAAATAACCAAAAATCTAATCTTGCAAAGGAAACAACCAACTTTTGCTACCCAAACACTTTCGTATTTTCAATATTTGGAAATCAAATTCCATCCGACAATTAGAATATCCTCGTTTTACAATTCACTTTAACCTTCGTCCAGTTTTTTTTAATGAGCCCATCAATGCACTTCGAATAGCTGGCAACATTGTTCGGTCTAGTTCGCAGACAAATGGAATACACAAATCAAATCTCAATATTTGACGCGTAATGAATGACACACGATTGTAAAAATTTTGAAGGTAAGTTTTTATGTCTTGTAGCCGTTGTATGTCTGCTTTATTTTAGTGTTATTGTTTTGTTATTATTATTTTGTGATGTATTTTTCTTTTTTTTTTTTTTTGAAACAGCCACTGACACTTAATTTTTATAGAATTTTTTCTTGGACGCACGTTCTTTTCGGATGCGTTGTCTGTTGTCTTTTTATAGACTTTCAGTCATTCAGTCAAAACACTTATTGGTCGGGTGGCTGGCCACCTCCTCCTTCTGGCGATGACAAACTGCTGGTGGGGTGATCGATAATGGCGGCGGAGAGGTGGCGCAGGGTCGCTGTGTTAATTACCATTACACCTTGTAGTCCATGTTATCCACCGGCAATTGAGTAACGCAATGCCGTCCTCAGGTGGTGAACACACACAACAACACAACAGAAAAAGAACAACAACAAAAATGGTTTTGTTTTTGTTTTGCTACTCACGTTACCGTTACACCGAATTGAAGCACGTGTGAATCGTCGTATCTCCTCCTCGTTGTTATTGTTGTTGTTTTGTTTTCCACTTGCCACACTCACTACTTGCTCACTCACTCACTCACTCACTCACTCAGTCGCTTGCTCGTTCGCTCACTCACTGAATATCTCACTGAGGCAGTCAGACATTTACTCACACACCTGCGAAGGCATTTGCATAAATTTGACTGTCGTAGCTCTGATGTTGCAGAACCAGAGGCAGAAGAACAGGCAGTTGAGTTACGAGCTGTCTTTTGTCTCTGTGCGTAAGGCCCGGCCCGTCTCTCGCGGTCTGTTGTAAACACAAATTGTAATTATTTTATTAATTTTTTGTTTTGTTCCGTTTGGCTTTGTTGAGCCCAAATTCACACACGACTCTTGAACTGTTTCTGCTGCTGCTGATGGATGTTTGGCCACGGAGCCTGCTGCGCGATTGTTGGGATGTTTGGAAAATATCCCGACGATTGTCCTTTGTTTCACTTGATTTTTTCTCTTTGTTTTTTTTTTTGGTAAGACGACAATTTCCTGCGTAACGACCGACAACAGTTGACGACACAACCGACAGAGTGACTGACTGACTGACCAAACGACCAACCGACCGATGTTTGTATGAATGCCGCAAACGAAATCACGATCTGGCCGAGCAAAACGAAACAATGATGATTTTCCGATTTTTCGTGTTGCTGTTTTGGTTGGGTTTAGATGTTTGTCCGTTTTCCGCTCGCTCGCTCGCTCGCTCGCTTCTTCGCAAAATCACAAAATCTCAACGGCAGCGCATAAGGGAGAAAACGAACGTGCGACCAGTTGCTGCGAGTAGCACGTTGCATCTGTGCTCACGAAACGAAGAAATCTTTTTGATTTCTGTTGTTGACTTAAAAGTGTTTGATTGTGCTTTTGCTTGTCGTCTGCCTGCCTGCCAGCCAGCCAGCCTGCTGTCCGCCGGCCTGCTTGCTTCCCTGCAATGTTGGTGTTGTTGGTGTTATTTTTTCTGTTTCAGTTTCGTTTTCTGTTTTTGTGTGTTTTCCTTTTGTGTGTGTTTTCATACCATTATTATTGGCGTTTGCTTGGGGCGAATACGACCAACAAATACAACAATTACCCATACACTGACGCACACACACAAACATACACCGGCCCGCGACAGCAAACAGACAACATGACTAAACAACGATGACAACGTCGTCAATGAGGCAGGCAGAGCCCAAAAGGCAACAGCGGCAGTGCGACAGTGGCAGTTTGGCAAGGCAATGCGTCAACCATTGCGAACAAGCAAACGAACGCAGCCAGCGTTGGCTATAGGTCTCGTCGCCGATGATTAAACCAAATTACAAGACATCCAGTCGGAGTGATTCCTCCTAATCCATTTAAGCGATATGTTGTACGCGATACCCGAATGACGAATGAGTATTAAGGACTTATTTACGCACATTTTGCATAAGCACACAGACACACTCACACTCGTAATCTTGGCTACAGTTCTTAAAACATGTTTGTATGTATGTTTGAGTGTGTGTGTGTGGGTATGCTTCGTTATGTTTTGTCTCTAACATGCAATGTGTGCATGTGTGTGTTTGTCCTTCGTTTGTAAACATCCTTCTTAACATTATTACCATCCGATTTGACTGGTCGCAAACACATAAAAATGTTTGAAACAACATCATTACACACACATGTGTGTGCGGTTGTATGTGTGTTGGTACATGCCATGTTGCTATTATTGAATTCTGTTGTCTCACAACGAGCAAAAACGCACACACACACACACACCTATGCACACAACATGCCGATGCTTGTAAATAAGCTTTTATTGTGTGTGTACGAAAGTTGCCTTGAGGAAGTGTTGTTGTATTTTTTTGCTTCATTTATGAATGAGAGTTGTTTCAAACTTGCATAGTGGGACCGTCGTTTTTGTTGTAGTTGTTGTTATATTTCCTTGTAGTTTTTCATGCGTTGGGGTAGTCTTGACAAATGGCTGGGTGACAGTGTAATGTCATGAACAAAACATATGGGTCGTTTCAGTAGGAATTGGGCGAAATACGGAAAATGCTCTCCAACTGCATTGAGGGAGGGGAAGTAACGTATGGCAGATGTATTTCAATGCAATGGGGCTAATTATTTTGGGACATATGGTGTAAAATCTGAATTTGGTTTTTTGAACAGTGAACACCGTCTCAAAGGGGTAGGTCGGAACGATGTTTGACCAGGATTGTTAAAATTCCTTATGCAATTCAATTGAGTGGTTACAAGTTTGAACACAAGATAGTTTTCACTAGGATTTGAGAAATATACCCATGTGTTTTTAGCGACTCCTATTTAAACTTATGTATACCGAATCTTCAATTTATTCCTAGTCTATAAACATAATAATACTGCAGCATTTATTGACTTGAAAAATTATGATTAAATATTTTAACATTTCTAATATTAAAAATTAAAAAAAAATATTAACGGATTAAAATAAAAAAATATTTCAACATCTATGGCAAACACTACTTACAACGAAATATGCTGATCCATTATTTTTCCAAGGACATATCACCCGAAATATGTTGCTATTTTCGGGCGAAAAAAGTCGACAATTGCATCAGGGAGCATTAAAAGTTTTCCATGGTGATTTTTAAGGAATTCGCTATTTGTCTTATATAGCCTCCAAATTATACTGGGTTGTAGGTTCTGGGAATTTTAATGACACAATGGACAAATTTTGTCACAAATGGCTCACATATTTGTTCCAAATTGTAAGCCATGGTCTTAAAGGAATCATGACAATAACACCTCGATCCTTCATATAGGCAAAGGATTTATACGAAAGCCTTTCAGCAACAGAATAGTGCTTTAAATTTATCTTTTAGACACATACACACATCCGAACACACACATGCACACATACACAGAGATGCTAATGTGTTTGTATTTAAACATTGGCACAAACACTCAGTTTACAATGAGAAGCAGTGACAAAGCTCATTTGTCAACGAAAGCTTAGTTGTTATGCATGTGTGTTCAAACATTGTATCTCCATCGGCCATGACAAATACAAAATGCATGGATGATGCTTTAAGCAATGCGCCGAAAGGCAGGAAGACTCCACCAAGCCAAGGAACGACAGCAGCAACAAACACACAACAATGACACACGCACACACACACTCAGTCACTCACCATGGACGGACAACACCGAACAATACCAACCATCAAAGCAACTAAAACGATGCCATCAAACCATCACACACGCTCTCAAAGCAGCCAAAGAGATATGTTTGATGTTGCAAGCCAACCATTGCCACAGCACACGAGGAAGTGAAAATGGATTTGTAACTTGCGATAGATGACAATAACAGCTAGAAGTCATCCACATCCACCACATCATCGCCAGCGTAAAGAAATATTTACAGTTAGCACGATGACACTGACAACACGGCGGAATGTTTTTTTGATGGCCGTACAAAGAAGTTTTTAAAGCTTTTCTTTCATGTGACAAAGCTCCAATGCATGAGCGATATGCAAGAGCTTTTGGGGGTGCTTATTTTTATCAATAATTGAATTTTCTTGAAGATAACTTTACTCAAGAGACTAGAAAAGCTGATGTCCAAGGACATACTCTAACTTTAGCCAGTCTTTTGTACGGAACTCTTAAATTTGTAATATCAATTTGCAGTTTTAGCGGAATGCTAATAAAGACTTGATAAAAAAACCCCATTCCCTGACCCCGCTTCTTCATGGCGTCTGCACCACTAAACTTTTGCATTGACTTCTCTTCGACTCGGCATTCCTGGCATTTTTATCAGCGTTTATGGCTTCCAATTTCCATCATTACCACCAAACGCTTCACCTAGCCATAATCAGCATCATCGTCATCTCTGGCACCGCACTATTAGACGTCCTGACTTTTTGTTCTTCTCGTTGCTGCAGCTAACCATTATCATCGTCTGTGCGACAGGGGTAATGGGATATCTTTTGTGTCTGTCACATTATTCTGGGTGCATTCATCCCTCGCCGACACCAAGGTAGGTGGACTGGTGAGACAGTCGTTTGTGTGTGTTTTTCGTACGAAAATAATCTTCAAGTTTTCTATGAACACCACTTTTTTGGCGACTACGCTCGTGCGAGTGTGTGTGCGTGTTAATGAATGAGTTACCCAAAAAAACAGCAACAATTTACTCAATTTGAAAATTTGAAATTTTGCTTGGCAGACATAACAGAAATGCGATACTTTGACGAAACCCATGTCGATACAGAGACGTCGTCGTCGTCGTAGTAGAAATTGTCCAAACTTTCAATTAAGCAATTTTATGCGAGGTATGCATGTATGAATGTATGTGAGTGTGTATCGCTGCAGAGTATAACACGATACTTGAGCAGTGCCGTGAATACCTATTAAACATATCACCTACAAGCTGACAAACACTCACATAGCGTGGCGTGTGTATTTTCATAGACTTTTACACGGAAACGTTGCATTTCTTGCAAACCTCACAGCCAGACAGAAGCGCGACAGAAACTAAAGAAATTTCCAGGTAATAATGGAAAATAATCAACAAATTAAGATGATTCAGGTCTGTCCAAACTTATGAGAGCCACTGAAGTGTTAAAGTATTGATATCACTATAGACAAACAAAGATTAAATTATTGAAGAATTGAAAATATTAGGGTGGAAAGGGTGCTCTCAAATATGGTAAAAGTGGCTAAAAGATAATTTTCAAAAATTTTCAAAGGAATTTGGTATTCTTGTTGTAAATAGAGAACAGAGAATTTCCACCTCCAGCCCCATCAGATCTGAATTGACTGTATTCCCAGATTTTCATTTCTCGTTAATTGAATATCAGTCTAGATTTGGACATGTAGTCCATAAAGATATTTTGAAGGCCTTAGTCCTTGTCTCTCTGCCTGGGTGGTTCGCACGATCACTCTCGAATGGAGTATCCGATTTGGTCCAAACTTGGTACATCGTAATATTATTGTCAAACTTAGATCGAGTTCGTAGATGGGCAATATAGGTCCACTCTTCTGGAACCTCCCCCCCCAATAGGTCGAAATTAAAATATATATATATATATATATTTTACTGCACAGAAAGAGAAGTGATAAACCGATTTAGCTAAACTTTGAAAACACTAATATTTGCATTAGTGCTAGGTTAAGCACCTCTCCCACAAAGGTCTATTTTTTTAATAATTCTAACTCTTATAAAATATGACGTAAGTGTCCGATTGTCTTCAAATTACACATAACAATATTTTTATTAACCCATAGTCTGATGTGAAGATGGGATATATCGGTTCACTCCTTCTGGTACCTCCCCTACAAAGGATCAAAATTTTGAATATCCATGACGCTAATTCACATTGAAATTCACATCCGATTCCATTCAGACTTGGCACATCACAATACTTCTATCAACACAAGGTTTGTCATAAATATGGTAGAGATCGGATCATTTCTTCTGGTACCTCCCCCATAAAGGTTCAAAGTTTTGAATAACCAAAACGAGTATAAAATCTAAAACAAGAATCCGGTTTTCTTCATATTTCACAAATCCCATTATTTCTACTAACTCATGATCTGCTGTAAAGATGTATCGGTCCACTCATTCTGGTACTTCTCCCACAAAGGGTCAAAATTTAGAGTATCCACGAAGCTCATAAAACGAAGCGAAACTAACATTCGATTTCATTCAGAATTACTACATCTCAATACATCCATCAACACAAGATCTCTTGTAAAGATAGTAGAGATCGGACTATTTCTTCTGGTATCTCCCCCACATAGAGTTCAAGATTTTAAGAAACAAAACGTTCAAAAAGAAGGGGAATACGCATCCAACTC